AATTAATGGTATATAAAGGATAAAGCATAGTTTATTGATTTGTACCCGGGTATCTTACAAAATACTATGTTCAATGATCTTGAAATGTACCCAGTACAAATCAAGGGGGGTACCGATCACAGAGGGTATTTTCCACGGTAATTTACGGTATATTTATTTTTTTTTTATTTCAAATTTTTTACTTCAAAATCGATACATATAAAAATTTACAATACTAGCACATGACTACATGTTGTACAATTTCAAATTAAGTTTGTATCACAGTGAAAAATAAGGGCGCGCGATCAAGGTTTTATCACTCATCAAGTGATCGCTATATGTGACTCCGACGGTCCCTTGATGCTATAGGAGAATGAACTTAAAATAGCGCACACGTATGATTACTAAATATGTATTAATAGATTCTAGATAACTGCTGTTAAGCCACTGTCTCTTGGAAAGAGAATGCTCTGCATCTGAAGTGCTGTTGGCTTTTTTCTTAATAAACATATCAATATATAAAATCGCTAAGCCACTGTCTCTTGGAAAGAGAATGCTATGCTAAATTTGTATATATACTCATATCGGGTAACTTATTTTCTGGCTTCGAGTGATGAGAAGGCAGTATAAATATTAATCGAACTTCCAATGTCTAATATGTAGAACATCAAAAATTCAAATATACAAATATTTATAGATTAAGTAAACCACCTCTTAAAAACAAACATAATATTTATCTAAAAAAAGAATAATCGAGGCTATTAATTGCAAATATGTATAACAAGCTACATAATAATAACCAACTTGAAATATTCCTTGTGCTTTATATGCATGAGGCTCAAATAAGTATGTATATAAAATCTTTTTTTTTTGTTTTCTATATGAAATTTTTTACTGATATTCTACCTTTTTACACTAGGTTGTTTTTGTGTCAATAAGATGATTGCTAGAGCTATTTGTATAGGTATGCTAAGTCAAGCAAAAAATTTTATCTCTAAAATTGAGCAATAGGGTCTTTGACTATGCATGTTGTAAGACTCAATGGGTTTATAATTACTTTAGGTAGCCTAGTACTTAAGTGAAGGTGAGTGTCTGGTCCGCAAAAAATACACAATCTATTTATCCTTTATAATATAGTCTTCTTAGGTGCAGACATAAGCTTTAAAAGTAGGCCTAGGATCTGTCTGTTACCCTCTAAAATTTATTTTTTATAAACCACTTATAGAGAGTGCAATTGTCAGACTATAATTGTCTATGTAGCAAGAAGAAGAAGACCTGATAAGCTTTCTGAAGTTTAGTCCACTAAGCTATGAGATAAGAAATAGTTTGAATATATCTACTTTGAAATTTTTATTTCATATCAACACCCACCTTCTTATGATTTTATTACTCAATTGTGATTTCAAGAATAGTATTAGGAAAATGCTATACAACTATAAATCAAATAAATAGGTTGCATATGCTTATATGCATTGTAGCAAGTATATTATTTTATTTTGATGAAATATCTGCTGAATTTTTTAATAAGATATTTTTCAGGATCCTGTAATAATTCTATCATATATCTCCATAGAAGGTAAACAATATCGAGCCCTCATTGTGAAATATAATCTTGTTTGTAACCCTGCTGTTTTAATATTTCCTTAACAAGATCATGTGCTTCTTTATCTAGTCGATGGCTTAACTGATATTTCTTTTTTTCTACCCATTCATCAAAACTAAAATAAATATATTCCTTATATGTGGCGAGTTTGGCTATATTATATGTTTTGATATAGTATTGATAAACATTTGCTTTTTTAAGTATATCAACAAATTCATCAAAATGTAAAGCATGTTCTTCTTGTGTCAAAGGATTTATTTTCATTTGAGGAATTAAAAGTATATCTAAAAATCTCTTTCTATTAGGAGTGCTATCATTCCTTACTACTTTCCAGACTTGTTTTGCCAACGACCCAGGCCTTTTCTTGTAACTTCTATAAGCCCATTAGGTAACTGTTGCATAGAAATTCTCAAAGCCATAATTATAATATTTAGGAATTAAGAATCCTCAGGATCGCTTTATTGATCTTTCTAAACTCTTAGGATAGTATATTAAAAATTGTTATAAATTAGAGAATCTAATCCAGAATAGACAAATCGCAATATTTTTGCCCGTCTTGCATAAACCCACAGGTGGTAGATTTTACTAGATGATCTCTGGAATAGAGTAAAAAAATAAATTAATTTCTGTTATTTTAATAAAGCATTTATAGCCCAGAAAACTCGGTGCACATACTCACAATTATTGTTTAAATTTAAAAAATTTATACTAGTTTCTTTTCCCAAGATATCAATATATCCAATTTCGAAATAGTCAATTTTTAGCGAATTACATGGATATGGCTTGTCTGCTATTTTATACATATATCATGCATATTTTGAACTTCTAACAAAGTTTTCATTATCGCAATTTCAGTATTTTTTGTCAATATGGTAATATTCTGAATTTGATAACTGCTTTAACATATAAGACCAACTACTATAATAAATGATTCTATAGCCTTGCTAATGTAATACTATAAAAGTAACTATGTATATTACATTATCTAATCGTGCTTTTAACTGATCTTTCTTCTTTTCTGCCCACTCATGTGAAGTATAATTATTATATCGACATTTCTGATAATATGCAGATATGTCTTTAGCTAAAATTTTTCGATCAACATACTATACATATCGATCATTAGGAATTCTTATATCACGAGGTGTTATACCTAAAAACTTCTTCTCATCAGAAGTAGTATTATTGCTTACAATATTCCAAACTTGACTTGCCCATGTCTCGGGTTTCAACTTGTAAGTTCTCCAAGCCTGTTGAAGAACTATTATACTGTTAATTATGCGAACTACAATCCTTTTTTTAACTTCATTTTTATTTGAATGTTTATAATTATAATCATAATAGCTCAAGCCTTTACTGTATATAAAATAATATCTCTCATATATCTTATCAACCATATCAATGCCAAGTGATGATACTCCCTCTCTTTTTTTACATTCTTTTGTACAGGATTGGAATATATATTAGTGGTTTCAGTAATATATTTCTTTAGGTGATCACTTGCATATTCGATTGTATTTTTGTGAATAATAACTAAGGAGTCGCATACAGTACAATAAATGTGGAATGAGTGTCTCTCAGCATTAAATTCCCCGTCTATATATACTCTTTTAATTATTTGGATAAATCTATTCTTAGAGAAGTATTTTGAGTTATATTCGAGAAGTTTTTTAAATAGACAACAAATACGAGAACACCACATTTCTGGTGTTTCATCACTATAACTATATTGCAGATTGTTTAACGCCTGCACTACTTCAGGATTTAAACTAGAATAGTAGTTATAGTTGGTTTTAACCATTTTTTACTCTTTATAGTTTATAGCCAACTCTAGTGATTATAGCGTTTTTTAGCAATTTATAGGGTTTTTAGCAATTCTTTATCAATCTATATTAAGGAATATTGCGATTCAAATTTGTACGTAGCCAAAACTGAAAAAAAAATATAAATATACATGTATAAATTTTATTTCCCAATTGTAATTTCAAGAATAGCATTAGGAAAACAGTTGAGTTGTTATTGAAATTATGAATTAGCTAGATCGCTTTTTTTCTTATGCTTCTGCCTCATCTCTATTTCCTTCTGTAGATTTAATGGAGTGTCGAACCTTAGCCGAATTGCAAGAGGATCATCCTCGGGTCTATCTAGATCAAATACAATAAATTCACCTTTTTGGAGATAACTATTTATAACTATTGATGTATTCTTAACATCATCAGTATATCGACTGGCTATCTTAAACACATCTTGAAAACTGCCTCCAGTATTAAATATCACTAGATAAGATATATTTTATGAATAGTAATGGTAACTTTATGATACTTCTGTGTAATATATATACTTGAAATATTTCTATGATACCTATAAGTAAAGAAAAAAATGATTTGATTTTGTATATACTCTAGGGCAATACATAAGTCTTTGAAAATGATGACAGTGCTTCTTTCTGGTGAAAATAATTCATATTTGGTATCCTTTCGGGAAAGATATAGCTGAATTGTATATTCTCATGGTATGGGGCACTAGGATTCTTTGCAATTATTCCATACATATATTTGACAAATGCCCACTTAGGCTTATCTGGATGATAACCACAAACTATCAAAACATTGCATTTTATATATTGGGACCCTCCTTTTTGTCTTTTATATATATGCTCACTTTTATCACCAAGAACAAGATTTGCAAGTAAGTTAGTCTTACCTGTTCTACTTCTTCTACTGACTAACATAGTAAAAGGCCAGTCAGGCAATGCTTCATGTCCTTTTATTTGGGATGATTTGTGCTTTGTGGCCTCATCCATATCTATAAAGTAAAGTTTCATAGAAGGCAGTCCAGTTGTCTTTTGGTTCTTTTGTATAACGGTTCAGGAAACTATAACTTTGTTTTCTATAAATTGGATAAAAAATTTCTTTCTTTTTGATTAAGCGATGAATTTGCCTATATATATACCATATAATTAATATTATCATTAAGGATAAAATAACAAGCTTGAATATAGGCAGAATTATATACTGATTATTAACTAAAGCATTACTAACCCCTAATATAACAATAGATAAGGCTTGAATATTATCAAATTTCTCTTTCTGCTTATTGCAATCATGGTCTATGGGAGGTTCTACCATATCTTTTACTTTGCTTTTATCAAATTCAAGCTCTGAGTGGTATGAAGAAAAAGAGGAAGTACCTCCAATTACTTTATTAGTCTCACTGGATGCTTTCGAAACCTGCTCTGCTAAATAGATAATAGTTTCTTAAAGAAGGGACTTAGCCAAGTCTAGATCCTCTTTAGCTTCACCTATTATGTTCGATTCATAAGATGACTAGGATATTTGTTGTTCTAACTGATCTTTCAATTCCCTTACTCTAAATCTGAAACAACTAATTAACCCATAACTACATAATACTTTTCCTGCTACTTTCTCTAGTTCGTTTACTTTAGTTCCAAGAGAGGTGATTTCAGAATCCTTATACCCTACCTCGGCTTCCGATTCATGTTTCTTTAAATTTAAATCATCCCTTTCTTGCTCCAATGTATAATTAAAAGAGTTTAATTCACTTATTTTATCCCTAAAAAAAGTGGTATCTGAATCATGAGATGTGTGTTCTAGTTCTATATCAGATTTCAATTCATCTACTTTGGCTTTCAGTTCATCTATTTCACCTTTAAGATAAAGAATCCCGCTCTTGTTAAGGGATGAGGCTTTTTGGGCGAGAGTCACTTTTCTCTTTAGTGTTTTAATCTCAGATTTGAGCGATTAGATTTCAGCAGAATAATTGGCTTGCTCTGCTTCACGCTCAGTATGGGATGATCGTTTAGAAGATCTAAGCCTAGTATTGGATGCATTTAGCTGACTAATCTTTTTATTAGTATTAGCTTGAACTAGTACAAGATCCTCTTTTTGTTTTAAATATACACCCTGGAGGTCTTTATATTCATTAGCAATATTAGAAACAGTTTTGATACTACTGCATAATGCTTTCTCAAGTTCTGATTTATAGATACTACCAAGCCGATGACCAATTCCTTTAGAATCCTCTCTATCTTTTATATCTTTTAATATATATACATTGGACATAATTTTTTTGGCTTAATCATTAGTATATTAAAAAATTTACAGGTAAAATTTTTTCGAGACCATGCGATTCTAGAAGCACTTTATTTTTTATGATTACTAGTAATACTATGATACTACCAATACTACAATATTACCAATACTAGTATAGTACTGATACTACTATATTACTGATACTAATATTAGCATAGTACTGATAGTATTATATTGCTGATACTACTATAATACTAATACTAGTATAATATCAATATCTGATATATTTAAAATTTATTAAATATTAACATAACAAATGAATCAAACTTAATTCATTAAAAAAACAAGATTAAATTTAGTCTTTCGATATAAATATATTAAAATATATTATTCGCTCTTATTATTAAAATT